GACAATTTAATAATTTTTATTTTAATAGTTGTTTAGAACAAGGTCAGTTTCACGGCTACTGGGTTATGGTCATATAAATCGAAATTAATGTTATTTATAAATATTCATATTATTTAAAGTGTTTTTTTAGTAAGGTATGTTAATATGAAAATTACATAGCACGTTTTTATTTATACTGTATAATATACAGTGTATATGATATCAATATTATTTGCCAACATAGATTACCTACGTGAAATGACTAAGGTTGGCATTTTCAGTGAAATTTAGTTATTTCTGGAAACTATATGACTACCTGTATGAATATTGTAAGCATACTTAATAGCTATTATATAATATGAACCAAATATTTTGGCACACAAACTACTATAATGTTTGATAAGAGGGACCAGGGTAATATTTTATTCAATGATTAATATTTTTGACATTTTAGTGATTTGATAGAGCATAAGTATTTTAAGTATAAATGCATTAGTCAAACTTATTTATATACCAAGTTGTCATAAAGTGCTAACGTTTATTCAAAATAGTGTTATAATAAAGGGACCGGGATCATTAATTTAAGTACGATTTATATAATGTTTTAAATCATAGTGTCTTATGGTACACTATTATACACTATACACTATCAATACACTATTTTGATATTTTATTTTAAAATGAAGTAATTATTTATTATGCACCCTCACACCCAACTACTATATGCATGCTAAGTTATATAACACACAGTCCTCTGAGTACAATACTTACACTGAAAACATTGTACTGTTTTTACAATCAAATAAAATGCCTTTCTAAATAATTCGTGAACTAGTTTATTTAATTATATTGCGTAAACCTAAGTATATTTAATAATAAAAGTAGCAAGCTATATTATCGGTAATCGGGGATCGGTGGCCAGGCTGAGTGGCCCGGTTAACCCGATAATATCCTAATATAATTTTTATCAAATTTACTTTTAAATAAATAGTTGATACATAAATAATAGTTTAACAAACTATTTATTAAAATCTAATAATAAAAAATATATTCTGATCGTAACTGAACTATTTATTTTGTTTGCCTAGCTATAATCATAATTTAATGAATAATGAGTGATATACCCCTATCTATGTAAATGGGTGATACCATAGGCAGGGTCATTTCATTCAATTTGTGGCACATGTCTGTTACCACTGTCTGACTATATATCACAATCGGTGTATAATACCAGTTATATTACTATTATATAGAGTGGTGTGTCTATCGCTATAACAACCACAACAGCACCGGTATGTGTCTATGAAAATGGTTACACAACTACTGTAGACTCAGTCTGTGAATGAAATATAATTTTGTGTTTTCTTGAGTTATATCTTATAAAATAGTAAATATAACTCATTTTAATCATTATTTTCATTATATTTTGCAGTGTTTTTGTGATTATTTACGAAAATTATTCAAAAACTTTGTTTAAACACTCGTGTGTTGTTTGCATTTAAATGTGAGTATTACCTAAATTATATTTATCATGCTACTATGCAATTTAATGAGTTTGTAAAACACTACTAGCTTAAATATTTAATACTATGCACATGAATTATAACTATTATTATTAAATATAACTAGTTTGCTTTTGTAATAATTAAAATTTTTAACTTAGAAACTGTAAATTTATAGTAAACATAAATTTAATTATAGTTTAGTATTTATTTAATTTTTTACTGGTATATCAATTTTAGTAAATATTAATTTCAAAACATACAGTATTTTTAATTAAATTAATTCATATTAAACACTAACTCTTTAAACAGTTATAAATGTCATACAAAACTTATCAAACAATATATGAATAGGAGTTTTGTTTTGTTTTTATTTTTGTCCCACTTTTGAAAATAAAAATATCAAAAAACTTTTGTTTTTATATGCATTTAATGATAGTATAACTAAAGCCTTGAAATACACGTACATGTATTTCCTTAATTTATATTATTTGATGTGTATAAAAATCAGGCATTGATACTACACACGCTTATAGTGTAAGTAAATACCCGTTAACTAACCCTGTTACTTTTAATAAATTTGACAAAAAAATGAGGTTTCTACTCAGCCAATTTTTATTTATGGCAAATAAATCTAATATACTAAATGAGGTAAAAATGTTTAATTACAGTTTACTTGTTTTAAATAGTAATAGTTTATAATAACGATAATAGACTGTATTATAAAGAATATTTATGATTCATAAACAAACATTTAAAAACTCCTTATATTAAACAAATTTTTAGTATAAAATAAATTCACATTAAAAATACAAAAGTAACCATGTAATAAATTAACAATTTATTCTTGCCCATATTTTAAATTAGCTATACATTAGAAATTAAGTATAACTAATTGGTTAGCTATACGGGAGCTATACTGTAGTAAAAGTGAACAACAATTAAAAATAAAAGTAATATTTTTCATTGAAATCCTATAAATAAAATCTACATATTTTTTGTTTGTTTTATGAATTATTTATTTATAATTTAAATTTCAATTATTATATTTCAAGGAAATACATTTTTCAATGCATTACTAATACATTGCTATTTTTAAAACCTTCATTCATACATCAGTTTAAGTTATTTTACATTAAAAATATTTTATCAATTAATCAATTAAACATTTGCTCTAAAAGTAAGTCATTTTAATTAATAATCTATAAATAGTTATTTAATATACTGTAAATATTTACAACTATTTTAAATTTATTACTAAATTATTTTTCAGAATTTATAATTTTATTATTTTATAATTATATTTCAAATATTTTTCCATAAAATAATAAACTTAGCATTTAGCATTCACTATTCAATATTTCAAATATATTACACAATTGCATTAATAATTTATTAAATTAAAATTTTCCATAAACTTTATGTAATTGAATACAGGTACATTTTATCTTGAAATGAACTACAGTACTATTTTCAATGTTGTATATTATGTGTACTTGAAATAAATGTACTTTAGATGATACCATAGTTATTGGATATTTTTATTAAGCTTTAGTTAGTAATTAATTGAAAATTATAAATTATGATCACTATGTCTATTAACATTGCGATTTAATATTCAACGCATTTACCATTATTATTTATTAATTTAATCTCAATGTACAGGTAAATACACTTTATGAGTCAATAAAATTGTATCAAGTTAACAGTATCCCCAAACTCTCAGCTATTTTTGTATAATGTACCCTAACAGTAAAATATAGCACCATAATTGCACTGTTAGTTCATAGATCTTAAGTACATTTAAAGATTTGAAACAAAAGTTTATGAAAAGTATAGTTACTGAATGACTTGCGACCAATACTTTACTATAAAAACTTGTGAATAGTTTTAGTCCTTAAACATAATTTATATAACAGTTTCAAACATAACAATAAAGTATTTATATATAACAATATAATATAACTCGTTAGTGAATACCCCGTATAAACTATTATTATAACTAACATTTACGGCAAATTTTAATCAACTTTTACAAGGTTGTACGAATTAAATGTAAGTTTAAAAATATTTAAATAACTTGATAAATCATGGTAACGTTTATAATTTAATTAACTAATAAAATGTGTTATTAAACTATTTTAAATATCTAAATACTAAACTTATAATTTAAAATTATATTTAGTTAATATAAAAAAGTTAATTATAGTTAACAAATAATCATAATTATACCACGATGAGTTTATAATACAATACAACATACACTCAATTTTTGCTACAAAACATAAGTTGACTAAAAACTGTACATAAAATCACACAAAACTCATGACTCGTATGAAAAGCATTGAAATGAATGCTTTTTTCCACGCAAACCATACAAAGTATACCACAAATGAACAACTAATCCATACTTTCATTGATAACTTTCTGCGGCAGTAATCAAACGCCACTACAAGACATCACCACAAATGGATCCCAAGAGCGTACCCACTGTTAAGCTGAACAACGGACTGGACATACCTATCATAGGGTTGGGCACCTGGCAGGCGCCTCCCGACGGCTCCCTATACCGGTCCGTGCGTACGGCCATCACCGACGGGTACCGACACTTCGACTGCGCCCTCATCTACGAGAACGAGGAGGAGACGGGACGGGCTATCAATGATGCCATCAAAGAGGGACAGGTATGTCACGAGGGGGTTAGGGATCTAATGTTAAGTGGATTTTTTCAGTAAAAGGTTTTGACTTTGTTTTAAAGTATTTTTATTGTGTAATTAGAAATGAGTTATAAGTGAGCAAAATGTGTATTAATTGAATGGACAGGTATGGGGAATAAACATCCATGGGTGGCTATGCTATAAGTTTGACTGTTTTCCTGATTAGTAGAAAACGAAAAAATAAATAATAATTACAGTTTCTCTGACTTTAGTTTAAAAATTACTTTTAATAAATAAAATGTTTATTTAAAAATTGAGTGGACAGGTAGGAGGGATGGGTGCTCAATGATATCATCCAATTGAAACTTAAACTATTTTTGACAATAAGTAAATCACACAAAAACTACTAATTATTAAAGGTGTTATACTTTTCAACAAATAAAAAATTATTATTTTAGTGGACAGTTAGAGGTAACTGTAGTTCATAAATCAGTATAGATTTAACTATTTTTAATGATTAGTAGAAAACTTAAAAACTATTACCATTACAGTTATTATATGACTGAAATAAAAATTTTATTTTAATTAGTAAAATGTTTGTCAAATGAGTGGACAGTTAGGGGGAACTGTGGCTCAACGGTGTTCTGATCCAGTATACACTAAACCATTTTTAACAATAATTAATAAACATAGAAACGACTAATTATTACAGTTTTATAGTTTTTTAATTAAAAATTTTCGTTAAATAAAATATTTTTATAAATAAGTGGATAATGGGATTGAAACCCAATGCACATGTATCCCAATATGAATTTACCTTTTTTATTGATTAGTAGAAAACAAAAACAAAATAGTAATATTACAGTTTTTTAGTTTATTTTTATTGTATGGACAGGTAGGGTAAAACTGGTGATACTATAATAATTAAAATTGACATCTTATGACAACCAGTATAGAGTTAACTATTTCATTAATTTTTAGAAAACTTATAAATTAATAATAATTACAGTTTTAATGACCATAATGTCCACCAAACTATACTCATAACCACTTTATTTGACGGCACCTGTAGGTAAAACGGGAGGACCTGTACATCGTGTCGAAGGTATGGCTCACGTACTACACCCGCGAGAGGGCCCAGGAGTGTGTCCGCAAGATATTGGCTAAGTTTCAGACCCCATATCTGGACCTATGTCTGGTCCACTGGCCCATGAGCTTCAAGCAGGTGGACGACACCCTGTGGCCTACCGGTGCCGACGGGAAGGTTATCGGCGGTAATATAGACTACATTGAGTGCTACAAAGGACTGGAGGACGCGCTGAAGGCCGGGCTCGTCAAGAGCATCGGTATCTCGAACTTCACGTCCGAACAGGTGGAACGCCTACTCCAGGCTACCAGTGTTGTGCCGGTTACTAATCAGGTATGTATTGGGACAGTCGTGTGTGAGTGAGAGAAAGAAAGAAAGAAAGAGAAAGAGAGAGAGAGAGAGAGAGAGAGAGAGAGAGAGAGACTGTTGCTATGCATATCACATGGGTGATGTAGAGGACAGGTAGTATTCCTGCTCTAAATACCTAAATACACTGACAATACTGATAGACCTAATTATGAGACATTTTTTTGATAAAATTACTTTTTTATAGTGAAAAATATTAAGCATTTAATCTTCGTGACGATTTTCCCCAATTATATAGTTACATACCGTTCCCTAAATTATATTTTTACTAATTTACAATTAAAATACAGTTTGAAAACTACAGTTCCATATCATAGAGTCCGCGTTCAATATAACTTATTACCTATATTTCAGTTTTATAGTTTTTTAATTAAAAATTTTCGTTAAATAAAATATTTTTATAAATAAGTGGATAATGGGATTGAAACCCAATGCACATGTATCCCAATATGAATTTACCTTTT